CAGTCGTCAAATTCAGCATTAATCAAACCAAAAAATATTTATAAAAACTAAATATGAAGGTTAAAACCGGATTATCATTAAAATAAATACTAATGGGACAAAATTGAGTTGAAAAAATACTAATGGGACATTTCCTATTTGATTTCGACCCAATTAGCCAAATTTCTCTTTAAAAAAAGGCAATATACAAATAATTTCCTATTAACATGGGCACCAGGTTATTTCTTAATAATTAGATGTTATTTCTTTAATTCGTGACTCATGATGTTTTTGAGGTGAATATTTTGGATCATAATTATAATTAGCTGAGAATTTGCTTTCATTACAATATATGCATATTTTATTTAATTCGAGGCGGTAGTCAATACCTCAAGACCACGGGTAAAATGAATAATATGTTCCACATACATTTGATCAAAATTTTCTCTACGCATTTTTTAATCTCATCAATTAAAATATTATTTACCAAAATATCATAATTGTAAAATTCATGATGGAAGGACTCATAATCTTGAGAAGAAATTACATATGTGTAACAATGATCTTACCCAAGAAGAGACCAAAATTTTGGAAATAGATGAAAGAACCTTATATGATGATTTGGTTGATGAAAGAGATGAGAATGTTGCAGAGTAGAGACACCCCGTGAACATGAAAGAATCAAGTTGATGAACTGTTCAAGCTAATTTAGGAGGTAAAAAAGCTGAATTGAACTCTTTTGGTGTTTTCTAATTTGGTATTCATGCTTACTTTGAATGTGTATTGTGTTAATTTGACTCTTGGATATGTTGTTTATGGCTCAGTGATACGTCTAATCCACCATGATATCTTGTGTTAAAATCATCCATGCAGATAACTTCTTTTTAATAAAAAACAATTTAAAAATCCCTTTTTTGTTTTGGCTAATATTTTTGGCCGTGATGTGGAATTTAATGCCTCCGTAACAATTTTTTTAGCATGAATGTTGTTGGTTAAGCAACATATGACATCCTTAGCTATAACTTATAGCTTTCATCTAGACTGCTATCTATTTTGAGTAACCATGAGAACTGATGTATATATTGGTTTTAATTATCAAGATGTGCTTCGTTTGTGTTGTCTCTTTATTTTTTGTACAAAAATCAACGCTGAGATCTGAATATGATGTAGAAACATAGTAAAAGTTAAGGTGTTTGTATTTTTTTTTTTTGTTTAGATATTGATAGAGAGAGAGACTTATGAAGCAAAATGATTTGTACAATGGTAGACCTAAAAACATGTTCTCTAGAACAAAAATATAATAAGCAGATCATAAAAGAAATTCAGTATATTGGTAGTATATTGGCTTTGTGGAATCAACGTTTATGGATGATAATATTTAAATATAAATATAAAAATACGAAAAGCCCCTAAACA